TGTTTTTTTCTTTTCTTTTTAATTTAATTATTTATTTAACAATTGTGTGTTCTTTTTTTTTTTTGTGTTTCATACATTTTAAAATATAATTTTTTTTTATTTGTTTCATGTTGTTGAGTAGTTTGTCTGTGAATGAGTCTTATATTATTTCTATTTCTTTCTTAAGTGTATTATACATATTACGGTTATTGTTGCGATTTTCTTATCTATTTATTTTTATGCAAAATAATTCATAAATCCGATAGAATAACAGATTTAATAAATGAAATTAAATAAATATGAACAACTTTTGACGATTGGTACTATATGGTGCATTGAAAACGTATAGGCTGAAAATCATCTCATGGGTGTTTATTTACATGACGTAACTCATTTTGTGACTTGAAAATGAGTGTCGAAGTATGTAGCGAAAAAAAATTGACTCCTTTCACCTAGCTTGTCCCATTGATGGTGAGCGACATGTTTAAAAAAAGTCATTTTATCATCATAGATTACGATAGACATTCCGAAATATTGCTTCTTCCAACGCTATCACACACGGTAATTAATATATCGATATTTCTGCATTACAATTCAAGCGACTCTATTCTATTTCATATTTTAATCCCTTATAAGTTGTGTTCAAAGCTTTTTCATTAAAAAGATTCATGTACGAACATTATGCCAGGTTTGTACTCTTTAAGAAAGAGTATAAAAAGAAATTTTAGTGGAATCCGACATTATGAAGTACTTAATTCTAATCGATAGAACAGATTTGATTACTACTATTATGAAGTGATAGTATTCAAAACAATACAATCATTTTGAAATTTTTGATAGATTCAGTTCAAGCGTTCATTTAGATCAAATTGTACGGTGAAATAGAATAGCCGCTAGCTTTTCCTTAGTAACGACAGAGGTGTATTTAAAATAAATTCGAATAATGTTGATTGATTATATTGCATCGAAAATTGTTGAAGATAAATGCAAAGATCTCGTACAGTTGCTTGCTGATTCGTCAAATATTGGTAAACTTTCCAGAACCATTCGACTAAGTATTGATCGTGCCATGTGACATAGACAAGTGGACGACCAGCTTCAGAAGCAGCCATTAATTGTATGATTGCTATTCGAAACCAATCATAGGACCTTCTTACATTCTATTGTTAACTCATACCTTTAAGTTGTCTATCACCATTAAATGCACCACAGCCCCAATTTCCAGTAGCAATGCCGAACATAGATTTTTCCATTGATTTCGGAATACGAAAGCATGTGTAAGCTTTGATCAATTCTCGACTCATATTTTCAATAATGTACTGATCGAGAGAATTCAAATAATTAATTGCATCCATAGCTACGACATGAGACAATTTTCGACCCCAGCTATCTCTTAATAAATACAAGTACATCATCATTATTAATAAGGAAAACTCAGCCTATAAATCACTTGGGTGTTTTATCGATAAAGTTATCTTTAGCTTTGAATGTAGTTGCATAACCACTGTATGTTACATATTGTTCACAGCCAATTAAAAATATACATTCATTCGGCAACATTACTTCACAAATAAGTACACTAACAAGCATTTCGGTACAAATAGTAAAACGTATTTCTTCTTGAACAATGCCTTCATTCATCACACCACCACCCTATAAACTTTCTTGTCAGTTTTTAAACTAATAAAAAGGTTTCTTTACTCACGATGAATTCATTTGCAAAGTCAACTTGTAAAAGACCGTGCATATCTTCGATAGTGATATTTTTTCTTAGATGAATTTTACAAAGTGGTGCTTGTGATTCAATCCATTTCGGTTTCCAAATATCGGGAAGAGCAAAACGTCGAAAAGTAAGAACACCTTTTGGCACTGATTGTAGAATACCAATATGGAAATAATAATAAACAAAATGATAGCTACATACTATCTTCAATGATGCGCCGAAAATAATGTAAAATACATTTGAGTTTTTCGAGTTTCCAGGGTGATCCACTTCGCAAAAGACTTTGATCGAAAAGGTAAGAATTTTCTTGAGAAAAAAGAACACTTTGACATTCGTTCTTACTGGATAAAATTGAAACTCTGATAT